ATTTTTGATTTGGAAAACCTCTCAGTAGTTGCTTGTGACCATAGTAAATAATTTCATAATTTCAACAATATTTTTTTAAGTTAGGGTAACTGCCAATGTCATGCCTAAATCATTTTTCTTTCTTAAGTAGAGATACAGGGGAATAACAAGGGTTTACTGTTATGTGCTTAATAACATCTTTCATTTTTTGTAACAACCTGTCAACTCCAAGGTAATAATTATGAAATGCCTTGAAATAAATGAGAGCGTTAAAGACATCCTATATTTGTAGCCTGATTTCAAAGGACCAAGAAGAGTGGCTGACCTTCAATGGAGAGCCAATAAAAGCTAATTGAATACATTGAATTAATAGTAAAACCAAACTGTCAAAATCATGAAACATAAGCAAAGCGATTGAAATAATATATGTTAAGGGTCTAATTGTATGGAAATAAGTAAAGCTCTTTTGCTCTTCATAAGTGATTTTTATCTCCTTGTTACAACTTGAAATTTCCCCAAATTGCTGCCACTACAGTTAGAAGACAGTCTTTTACTAACATTCCTATATTCAATTTCATAGAAAATACATAGTAGAACTATAATTACCAATCGCCTCTAGGAGTTCCTTTGATTCAGCACTGGTAAATGATTATTCCTTTTTTCCCCTATCAATTTATATTGCTCCCTAGATCAATAGTTTTTTTTTTGCCAAAGCGTTCTACCTCTTAATAAAAGTTAGAAAGTGGGGTCCAAAAGAGATAGGATGACTAATAAACTTCTCTGTGAGAAAAATATGAATGGAAACTGACAAAAAGATGCAATCATGTGCATTTTCTATCTATCTATCTACCTATCTATCTACTGATTCTAACATAAATTTACATTTAAAAAACCCCACACATAAATTGTGTCATTGTAGATTATCTACAAAGTGGACATTATACTCATGGATTATTCAGAACCTAATATAAATACTTTAACCCAATTAGGACACTTGATCTTACCATAAGGTAGTAAATCACTCACTTCTTAGAGGCTTAGTATTATTTTCAAACTACTGTTCAGACCATTTAATACACTGAAGGAAGTAATTTCTACTTCCTAAGTTTCTATCACAGTTTTAATTGAAGTTTGCCCTGTCTATATTAGTTCATAGGTCTGGTATGGTATTTTTCCATTTTTACAGCATAAGGAAAAATATAGTCTATGATTTTAGGATAAAGTGATTATTTTAACTTTCCATTCATAATATATAAATGGGAGCAGAGAAATCATATATAAAAACAGAATTTCCACCGAAAATCAAGAAAGTCACATCATTATTAAAAATAGGAAATTGTGCAGTAGACTTTGAAGAGTTGCCAGATATACATAAAGATATAGTAAAATGGTCTACTTTTTAGATAGTTTTACAGTAAGCAGTTTCAATTTAATACAGGGTGTCCCAAAAATTGTACACATACTTTAACAGCTAATAACTCAATTTTGAAAATGAAATGTATTTTAATAAATACTGCCTTTGTAATTATTTAAAGTGTGTGTATACATTATTGGGGGGCACTCTATATGTATTTTATCTATAAATAAATATTCAACTGGCATTCTATATATTTTAGGAAGACCTTATCAATCATACTATATCAACTTTTCTCCAATACTTACCTTGCTTCATATTGTTGGTCTTACAAAATATTCTTGATTAATTTTAAGGCCTTTAGGTGCTATTCATTAAATTAGAGATACCGCCCACTAAAGTATAAAGTATGGTGGAGGCACTCTTGTCTTCTGAATGTATAAGTGCATTGCTTAAATTTCTCATGGGGAATAATTTACACATGAAGAGGCTCTGGTGTTTAAAAAAGCTTTCTGCATTTCTTATCTCTGGAAATAGTCCTGCCATTCTTATATTCTTATAGCCTGACTCTGTGCCTGGCACATGAATGAACACATGGGTGAAGTACCCAGAAAAAGTATACCATTAATTACTCTGAGTCTAATATTTGCAAGGTCTCTGGTTAGTGTCTATCCCATTATCATCCCCCCACCCCATGCATGAGCAATGGTTATTTTTTTTTTACTGATTTGATTATTTGAGTTCATACATCAGTAATTTATCGCAACAAATAAATGGATAAAATTTTAATAGGAAAAAACAGTTGCTTCTTTACACCATAGTTTCTCTTTAAAGGCATTATTTTGTGCTGGAAACATCCAAACTTTCCTCAACTTCCAAACTAAACAAGACAATTGCAAATAAAAAGGCTAGAGCCAAAATGAGGGTGATGATGGTAGTGATCAGGAGTTAAGATCTGTCCCACACATTGTCCTCTTTCTCTCTTCATCAAACATTTTATTTGCTATAACGAGGTCAATTGCTTTTGTTTCCTGTTCCTCAAAACCAGCCCTCTGGTGCTTCATATTGTGCTGTCCTACAGTACAAATTTTGGTAAGATAATTGCTTTTTTGGATAGACAGATGGTTTTTATTTCTCATCATTTCCATGTTTAATATTTTTGGTAGTTAGTATGGAAGAGGTTTGCCTTAAAATTTATTTGCAAAATAGTATCGACAATTACATTGTCAAGTACTCAAAAGGTTGTTTCACATTTGTACCGCATTTGAAGTGCAAACGTCTTCAGATATGCTCAACAAAAAATTAACCAGTTTATTATTCTCTTTTGATTGTTTTAAATTGATAGTCAGCTTGTTATAATGTTATAAATAATAACTTGACAGACTGGCATATATTTACCCTAAAGTTGAATCTATTCTAGGGTATTCAGGATTATGTATTTTTCTCCATCTCGCCCCACTCCTGGTCTTTGTTGTTCTAAAAGAGGTCACTTAAGGACGTCGGTGGAAGGGCTCTGTGCGCCATCTACTGACGGAATCTATATTTCCAGGGTCGGGATAATGAGAATTACCCCTACATTCGGTCTTTAAAGCATTCTTCTAGAAAGGAGGGGCAATGGGAAAAGACCCTCTCTGACTCTATGACTTATTGGTGACTCCTGGAATAAACCTGAATTCAGCAAACGCATAATACAAAAAGGAGACGTCAGTTCCTCAGCGCGAGTACAAGTTATAAGAGAAAGTTTCAAGAGAAGTTAGTCAAACCCTGAAGTTAACTTAAAATAAAAACAGGATTGTTGTTTTTCACCTGTGTGGTGAGCTGCTCTGGCTGCCTCCTGGTTGCCGCCCTTAGAGAAAATGGCTTTGCTAATGGCACATCCAGACGGCCATCAGTTTCCAATCTTATTACACCAAAGGGCTTCTTTCCAATTTGATTATTTTATAAAAAATGCACTAATGCTTAGCAAGTAGGTCCACCCTTCATGTCGCTCCTAACACCCAGCTTGCCTACGTGTATATATATTTAGTCCTCATATGCATGCACAGACACACCTACAGGTGCATGATATGCATCCGTGTACATGTAGGTCAGATGAGAAATCTAAGCCCTTGGATTAAAATGCTTCTCCCTCCGTCGTTCTCTCCACTCTGAGCTAAATTTCAAGAGAGAGATGAGAGAAGTTGGGGTCCTTAATCCAGAGAAGTTTTCTTGGTTGTAAGTGGAGGATCTTATTCGGGTTATTATTATTATTATTATTATTTTTTGCGAGCAGCTGGGAGGGCTGAAAATTAACAAATAAGACCCCGGATGCTCCAGGTAACCTTCCTCCCGTTACACTCCTTCCCGTTACACTACTCTCTTTAACCCAAGGGCCAAGACGACGTGCTTTTGTGGTTTTTATGAAAGAAAAATGAAAAGAAAGCAAGAAAGGTGAGCCAGAAAGAAGAAAAGCAGCAAGTAAAGCGCGAAGGTTGGGAAAAGAGTATGAAGCCAAAGGAAAGATTCAGAAAGAAACTGGAAAGCGAGGGGGGAAAAAGAGGGGGAGAAAAGAAAGAGAAGATCAAGGCGGCAGAAAGGGAGCTAGGGAGATGCAAGGATCTTCACTTAACGAACCTAAGTTACACCCATCTTTCACTTTCAAATCAGTTGTCTAGATCTTATCCGTTTCCTTTGTAAAGGTTGTCTGCGTTGCTAAAGGAAGCTAGTCAGTATTCCTCCCCCCGCCCCACGCGTGGCGGAGCTGTTCCATCCCCGGCCGCCGAGACCAAACAACCCGAGTGGGGACGTTGCAGGCGCGCGCCTCCGGGAACACTTCCGCGACTGGTTGTCACTCGGGGAACCTAACCGGATTAAGGCGCAGAGATGGGATTACGCTGGCTGTCCCCAATACGCCTAAAGAGTAGAATCCAATTGATGCACATCACAGTCAGTAGACACTTGATCTGATATTTTAAGGCTCCCAGTTGCCCCTCGCTTCCTCAGAGGACAAGCCTCCGCGTTCTGATGCAACCCGGCAGGTTGAAAGGAGGGAGAACATCCCGAAGGAAACCACTCCAAGCACCCTCCCGGAAGGTCTGCGCCCGGCGCGCCCAGGTATTTCGCCTTCACCTGGGCACGGCGTTGGGATGCCTCCCCGCCGTGGACTACCGACGCGGGAGGCGTTCCCTTGGAAGGAAATAGCATTCTCCTTTCTCTCCGGTTCATTTCATCTTTATCGTTTCCGTGGCGGTGGCGGTGGCAGAGGCAGATGGGTGGGGAGCGCGGGGGCCGGCGCCTGTGAGTGGATGGGGAAGGGGGCCAGGCGATTGTTGCCGGTTATAACAG